AGGACCAGGATGGCTTAGGTAGTGCATGAGCAGGCCTGAGGTGAAACAAAGCACGAGAAAGCTTGTGAAACGGGGCAGAAGTGCCATCCACCCTGAACGCAAGTAGAGGCGGCTTCGCTAGCGCGACATGATATGAAGCGACAGTATTTGGCATCAAATGACAGTCCTGAAAAAGCCAAGAAAGAAAGGATAAGACAACCAATCAGAAATAGAAGACGACCATGAAGAGAGAAAATGGCAGAAAGAACACCTGGAAACTTTATACTGATGCTGAGACAAAGCTCGCACTGTTAATGAAGCCACCTTATCACCATACAAATGGTGATAAACCCGCATCAAAAAGACCAGACGTGAAGAGCGGAGGAGAAGACCAAACCAGCCATGTACCGAACCAGTCTGATCTGAAAGAGGCAGTACCTCGGAAAATGCCCCGGGGTCGGACACTGAGCAAGCAGCGCATTAAACCAAGGCTAATTAATAACTTTATAGTGGCTACTTCATCATGTTCTTTAAAGGTAAGGTTTTCCGACATGAGTACACCCAAATCCTTCCACTACTACCCACAGGATGGGTATGGGGTGCATACTAAATGAACTAAACCAAAACTCGTACAAACCTTACATCTGACATTTTGGTAATTACACAATCTCCTGCTAATATCAAACCAATCAGCTTTAATTTTAATTTTTCAAATTTAAAAAGTCCATTTCTTTTGTACGAATTTGTACTAAATTTTTGTTCCTAAATGCTTGGCAAATTGATGGGTACATTGAATTGTCATTGAAAAACAGTGAGAGAGACAACAAAAGAGGGATTACTTACAGTATAATGCTCAAACAAGGATTATTTACAGTAAAGTGCTCAAACATGGATTACCTAATTACACACAGAAATCACAATAGCGTGATGCATCAAATGAACAAATCAAATGTTCAACAATGAACAGATGAACAAAGGATTACCTACAGTAAAGTGCTCAAACAAGGATTACTTACAGTAAAGAGTTTAATGGAGGGATAATTTTAAATAAAAGTGCTCACAGGAGGAATCACTACATTAACAACAAAGTGTTAAACAACTGGGATTATTGCAGTAAAGTGTTCGAAAGACATATCTAAATGAAAAGGTAATAAAGGATCAAAACCACAGATTTTCACCAAATTACCAACATTTAACTGAAGAGTGCATAACTCAATTGACAAAGTGGTCTTCTTAAAGTACCACACCTAAGACTTAAATTTACAGTATATCAACAAGATAACAAACCTTAAAACTCAATGTTACCATAATACTCAAAAAAACATCATCAAATGACTAACCTCGTGGGTTTTAAAGAAGGGAGATATTTCAAGTGTGGCTTTAATTGATTTCAGTTGCTGGACGTAGCGACTCTGAAATGATTGATCAAATGCATTAAGATTTGTGTTCCTTTTTATACATGACAAAATACTCACCTAAATTTTGCAACCACTATGATGGATGTATGACTTAAACATTAGTACATTATTAGCTCAAGATTTACATATTATATATTATCATTGCCCTAATTCTCACTTTTATGGGGTGGAAGGGTAAAGAAATAGGTGTCCTTATCTCTCACTTTCCACTCCATGGAGGAATGGAAAAACAATGGCTATACAATTACACAAAATGAGACACAACCCTTTGTATCTCACACACTCAGTTTCACCACTCTCGGCCAAAATATTCACAACAGAGTTTCACCCTATTTACAAAATAAGAGTTAAGTATGCCACATGAATTGTCACAAAAGTTAATAGTAATTAATTAATTTATGTCCTCCTGGTAAACTGCTCCTATTTACTTCTATTCATTATCACTTGATTTTGAGGACTAAGTATGTGCATGTGAACCATAAGTAATTACCTTCACTTAGGTAATTACTTATGGTTCACATGCACACACACACAGTTTAGGTGAGAAGGTGGTGGAGGCCAAGATCGTCAGTAGTTTCAAAGCGTTATATGACAAAGAGTGCTGGGAAGATGGGACACCACGAGCGTAGCTCTCATCCTGTAACTACACTTAGGTAATTACATTCCTCAAAATCGAGAGCTATGAAAAAAGATGAGGCATTAAACATGCAAGAAGCTTGTAGATATGTCACAACACGAATTCACAAACTTGACAAGGAGAAGTTTGTAAAAACCTGCATTATCTATAGTAAGTCATCACAAAACCAAGATAAAAAAAAAAACAGCATTGAATGTAATGAAACGCCATTTTCTGGGTGAGTCCCCGAGGCTCCCCGGAGCTATCCTTGGCTGATATAAATATGTACCTAACTATTTTGCATCAGTCAATGTGGGTGGAGTTCTAGCCTACTGGGGACCACGAGCCAGAACCTGGCCCCCTCACAGAGGCACGGGGAGCAATGGCCCATAGAAATGCACATATTCCCTAAGGGAATAACAGAGGGACCTTTGACAAACTGTAAGCTTCTTGTTCCCAATAAGGCCACTAGAAATGGTGGCCCTCAGGTAAATTCAGATAAATTTATTGTCTATTATTACCGTATTATTATTACTGTCGTTGATATTGTAATTATTTCCGAGAGCTGACCACCTGGATGCTCCAGGTGATCAACCTGAAGCAACCAGGTTGTCTGGCTTTCAGGTTATGTCTGGCTTTTCCTAGAACATAGCCAAGTTTAAGCCTGATCAGTGCAGCTTTCACATACCAGAATCCCAGACACAGCTTGGCTATTTATGAATTAACCTGAATTTATGTGAGGGCCAACATCACTGAAAAAAATTCAGTCCAGTCCATCAGATGACATTCATCTTCTATATACTCAACATATCCTTGTCTGAAACATACAGGCACCCCATCCAACTAAACAAATAATTCTGAGGGTTTTTCTAGCATCACCAACCCATTTACATCACTCATTAAAATCTTGTCCCTTGAGTTTTCATTCCCTAATTCCATTTATAATCTTGAGACCACTTATCTTATGCTTCTTGTTTATCAACTTGATTACATCCAAGTACATCAACCTTTCCAACTGTGAACATACGGATCCACTTCCAGATTATTTTTTATTTTTCTAATTTTCCTCCCTTTCACTTTACACAACCTTGTACTAGTATGCCTAATCTTTGGGACGTAAACAGGCGCAGCTGGACCTGGATCCAAGGCTGCTTTAATTGTCTGGTGGGAGAGGATACAGGAAAAGGACTTAATAAACACATCTCTGGTTTATTAGCCAGTGTAAAATATAAAAAAAAGCTTGTGCTCTGGCAATCTCTAGAAGTTGTCATACCCACAAGAAGTTAAGGAGTCTTTAGGTGTTGTCATGGGTTTGTTAAAAACAGATCCTGCCTTACAAACTTGCTCACATTTTTTGGAAATGGTAACCAGCTACTCAGACAAAGGCCTTCCAGTGGATGTAGTATACATCCACTGGATGTATACTACATAGTACAGTACATGTGTAGTATACATGGATTTTGCTAAAGTTTTTGATATGGTACAGTACCACATGAAAGACTGGCAAGGAAATTACAGGCCCATGGAATAAATGGTAAAATATTAGAATGAATAAAACAACGGTTGAAGTAAAGAAAACAAAGGGTCATGCTAAATGGAAATGAATCTGAATGGAGAAATGTGGTAAGTGGAGTGCCACAAGGGGTTCATTTTGGGACCTACCTTTTTTGTCATATACTGTACATCAGTGACAAAGATGAGAATATTACAAACAACATCAAATTTGCAGATAACACAAATATTTATGGTAAAGTGGGAAATGATAATGATATTGAAGACTTATAAAGAGATCTGCTGAAACTTCACAAATGGTCAGAAGACTGGCAAGTGCTTTTTAATATCGACAAATGCAAGACCATACATGTGGGGCATAACAACCCATGCCACGACTGCCGAATTAATAACATTACATTACAGCAGATTGATGAAGAAAATTAAGGACCTTGAAGTCAAAATCCATCACTCATTAAAAGTTGCACAACAGATGGGTGCAGCAATCAGATAATCTAATCAAACTCTTGGGCTAATCAAGTGTAACTTTGACTATAAGGAAAAGAAGGTAATGGTCAAAACCTAAGTAAACCCATTACTTGACAAATACAGTATTGACAATGTCAGTATTTGACTTTCATACCATACATATTTGATACCATACCACCCATATTATCACACCCAAATCAAGTCACCAAAAAGGATTTTATTGTCAACCAGTAAAATAATTCTAGCCATATACTGTACAATAAAACTCAACTTACAGCAGCATGAGGATAGCCTTGTAAGAAGCTATTGAGAGCTGATAGAACTTGTTCTCTTGATCGTGTTGTCTTGAAGTCTTTACTGGAAGTTCCGTCACCTCTTCTCACACCCTCTATTCGGAAGCCTTGAGTAGCTGTAGACGATATTGTTTCACGCCACACCATATACCTGCAATAAATAAAACGTTAATGAATATAAGAATTTCCAAATTTGGTACCAAACATACTCTGTATTATTTAAATGTATACCAATATCCATTGTGTGGGATAATAAGTCTGTACTTTGATTTGTATCGAAGTCCCTCCATGTGCAACCTAACAACAGTTGCCTAGCTCCCAAGTACCTATTTACTGCTAGGTGAACAGATGCATCAGGTGAAAGGAATTGTACACAAAACCATTTTTGTCCTGCCCAGGGAACAAGTACAGGATCTCTGATTGTGAGTTAAGAACACAGACCAAAGTAGATGCAATCATCTTAAAGGCATTGTGCATTACCCATGGAACCGCCTACCTGCCAAAACCATAAATGCCAAAAAACTGTTAAATTTTAAAATACAACTGGTAAAGATCAAGGCAAATGGGGGGACCTCCATCAAGCCACCGGCTTCCTACCCTCATTGAGGCCATTAGTGTTATCAGCCCTCAGGTAATTATCTTTGTACTGCACATCCACCTAGTTTTCTTAACCACTGTATTGCGCAACGCGCCTTGAAGTGCTTGACGGGTGGTGTGCAATGCGCCTTAGGGAACCAACGACAGATAATGGGAATAAAATTCCGTAAATATTCACATTACAATTCATGATTCATGCCAGACCATGCCACCCTCACTCCTAGCCTTACATCATTATGTGACCTGCTCCTCTCCACAACAAGCCACTCTCCCCCTCAAGCCAATTCACTGCTACCTCATTGTTCATCTTGTGTGTATGTGTGTACAGGTTCCCTCTCCACAGAAAAGTTAACAGCAATACTTTAACAGCCTGCAAACAACAGCTGTACCATTCAGTGATGCATACTATCCTTCTCAACACTTCTTTAACCCCGAGGACTACCATCTCTAGTGACCAGGAGATGGTTTTTCAACTATAGGATAATAAATCAATGTAATACAGTAGTTTACAAGCTGAAGCTGTAAATGCCAGCCACACACAATTGCCTTGGATGGGGATGAGTAGCCAGCAGCTTGTAAATGGTCTTCTCACTAGTTTTGAGGAATTTTTCAGTTAAGTATTGAAATTGTGTATTGCCTTGGCATTTACAGCTTCAGCTTGGAAGCTATTACATTGATTTATTATCCTATAGTTGAAAAACCATCTCCTGTTGTCTGTCTTGCATTGTGGCTCGCTGAGCTTAAAGCTGGTGCCCTTTGTGTGTTACGCAAGACATTTTAAAGAGGTAGCTTAGATTAATATTTTCCAACTTGATCAGTACTGTATTTTGAAGATCTCAACTTAGGCCATTGTGGTACGTATGTATAAGGAAGAGTTGTAGTGAGGAATGTCGGGGGGATCAATTTACTGAACATCCCAAGAAAAGTAGATGCAACGGTGTAAATTAAGAGATTGAGATAAAGTAGAATAAAGAAGGACCAGGGTAGGTTTATAATTGGAAAAGGAGGGGCTGAGCAAATCAGGTCTTTACTATTAAAATAGTTGTTGAAAGTTTGTAGCAAAGGGGAGAAAGTTATGTGCTGAATTTATAGATCCAGAAAAAGCTTATGACTTGATTGATCATGAAGCATTGTAGAAGGTGTTAAAGGTATATGAAGTGGAAATGAGTTTACTACAGAATTAAAATCTCTTATATGAATAGAAGAGCATGTGTGAGAGTAGAAGGAGAAGTAAGGGAGGTTTTTAATGTTGAAATCGGCATAGAACAGGGTTACGTGATGTTTCACTGGTTAGGGTATCATTTCTGAAATAGGATGGGGGATGTATGGTCATGCTTCTATTCACCTGATGACTCTGTACACCTACCAGTAAATAAGCACCAAGGGGATATGCAACTGCTGTGGGTTGCATCGTAAGGAAGGTCAATCTTTGGCCTAGGGAGACCTAGTGTGGGAGCTCTCAATGACTGAACTCCATGAACTCCAAGTGACTGATGACTCCAAACTATTAAAGCACATATCAGTTTGGATAGCTTCAGGGAGCCGACAGAGTTCCCCCCCAGAAAAAGGGTGTCTAGAAATGTGAAATAAGAGAGTAAAGAGTGGTATGTAAGGTGAATATTATGTTCTCATACTACTCTCAACCCTGATATGAAATGAAGAACTTAAAGAAATGGTCTGGATCAGCATCCTCCAAATTGTTCAGTGTTTTAAAGGTTTCAATGAGATACTAGTTTATCTAAAAGTACAACCTGCAATTATTTTCATGGGTACAAAGGTTGAGAAATACTGTAGTAAGAGTGAAAGAACAAAAAAATTGTGTTAGGTAAAATGCTACGCACTCCATAGAGGTTGAAAAAGTGAACTCTGCAACAGAAGGACCCTACCTGGGTTATACATAAAAATATATATATACTATATATACAGTACATATATACAGTGTATACTGTATCAAAATATACAGTACATATATACAGTGTATACTGTATCAAAATATACAGATGCTCTAACCTGGGTTTGGTGACTGCCTTTGCTCTCTGCTCAGCTTCAGTGGGAGCTTTAGGGTCTATCTGTATCATCTTCTCATACATATCCTACATGATGGAAAATTTTTATGTTACAGATGATTAATTAATTTTATAATAATAATAATATATATATATATATATATATATATATATATATATATATATATATATATATATATATATATATATATATATATATATATGTCGTACCTAGTAGCCAGAACTCACTTCTCAGCCTACTATTCAAGGCCCGATTTGCTTAATAAGCCAAGTTTTCCTGAATTAATATATTTACTATAATTTTTTCTTATGAAATGATAAAGCAACCCTTTTCTCTATGTATGAGGTCAATTTTTTGTTATTGGAGTTAAAATTAACGTAGATATATGACCGAACCTAACCAACCCTACCTAACCTAACCTAACCTATATTTATAGGTAAGGTTAGGTTAGGTAGCCAAAAAAAGCTAGGTTAGGTTAGGTTAGGTAGGTTAGGTAGACGAAAAAACATTAATTCATGAAAACTTGGCTTATTAGGCAAATCGGGCCTTGAATATTAGGCTGAGAAGTTCGTTCTGGCTATTAGGTACGACATATATATATATATATATATATATATATATATATATATATATATATATATATATATATATATATATATATATATATATCAAATGACAAAGCAAATAAGATAGTATAAATGCATAGGTAAATAAAAAGGAATAATGAGTACAACATAATTTCCATTTCATAAGATTCAAAATTCCTTACCTTTCTTAATTTAGGTTTTTCTCTTGCCTTAGCCAGCTCATCCTCCAGATATGTTCGAACACCCATTTTAATATCCATTACACAGGGAAGAGCATAGTTACTCAGTAAGTCTTCGAGCTGGAGGTATTTTTCTCCATCTGCTCCTTCAACCTGGTGAGATGAACATGTAATTTATTTTTCCTCCTAGTGCACACAATCCTTGACAGTGGTCAGGTTATGCCAAAGTGAATTACCATACACACATTATTTTATCTACAAACACATTACTTTACCTCAGCGAGTAATGCATTGTAGCAACCACATTAAAATGCAGCTGCTGCTCCATGCAGACATGCTACAAACGACATCCGTACATTTTCCAGGATCAAGCAGTTTCTCATCAACCAATCAATGAGCAGCGGTGATCCAACACAAGTCAGATGGACAGGAATATAATGCCATCTGATCATAGCATTGAGATCATTTCTCACCACAACTCAACTAGTAGCATCACCTCCTCTGAATTGCCTCAACCTAGCTGTCCACCATACAGGCATGATGACACCAGCCGTTATCATCTCTGCCACCATCTGCACTCTACAGCTTCAACTTATGGCTCCCCTTGTCACGAGATGCTGTCCATACAACAACCACCACTGCACTGTAACCATTTAGATAAAATTATATATATATATATATATATATATATATATATATATATATATATATATGTCGTACCTAGTAGGCAGAATGCACTTCTCAGCCTACTATGCAAGGTCTGATTTGCCTAATAAGCTAAGTTTTCATGAATTAATATATTTTCTCTAATTTTTTTCTTATGAAATGATAAAGCTACCCATTTCATTATGTATGAGGTCAATTTTTTTTATTGGAGTTAAAATTACCGTAGATATATGACCGAACCTAACCAACCCTACCTAACCTAACCTAACCTATCTTTATAGGTTAGGTTAGGTTAGGTAGCCCCAAAAGTTAGGTTAGGTTAGGTAGGTTAGGTAGTCGAAAAACAATTAATTCATGAAAACTTGGCTTATTAGGCAAATTGGGCCTTGCATAGTAGGCTGAGAAGTGCGTTCTGGCTACTAGGTACGACATATATATATATATATATATATATATATATATATGAATGAAAACTCACACCCCAGAAGTGACTCGAACCCATACTCCCAGAAGCAACGCAACTGGTAACTACAGGGCGCCTTAATCCGCTTGACCATCACGGCCGTCAAAAGGAAGTGATAGCCGAGGCTATTTGAGCCACTTCCCCGACGGCAACTCGGATGGTAATCTTGGGCATAGCATTTCACCAAATCACCTCATTCTTTGGGGCACACGTGAGGAACACAAATGCGAACAAGCCTGAATGGTCCCCAGGACTATATGCGAATGAAAACTCACACCCCAGAAGTGACTCGAACCCATACTCCCAGAAGCAACACAACTGGTAACTACAGGGCGCCTTAATCCGCTTGACCATCACGGCCGTCAAAAGGAAGTGATAGCCGAGGCTATTTGAGCCACTTCCCCGACGGCAACTCGGATGGTAATCTTGGGCATAGCATTTCACCAAATCACCTCATTCTTTGGGGCACACGTGAGGAACACAAATGCGAACAAGCCTGAATGGTCCCCAGGACTATATGCGAATGAAAACTCACACCCAGAAGTGACTCGAACCCATACTCCCAGAAGCAACGCAACTGGTAACTACAGGGCGCCTTAATCCGCTTGACCATCACGGCCGTCAAAAGGAAGTGATAGCCGAGGCTATTTGAGCCACGTGTGCCCCAAAGAATGAGGTGATTTGGTGAAATGCTATGCCCAAGATTACCATCCGAGTTGCCGTCGGGGAAGTGGCTCAAATAGCCTCGGCTATCACTTCCTTTTGACGGCCGTGATGGTCAAGCGGATTAAGGCGCCCTGTAGTTACCAGTTGCGTTGCTTCTGGGAGTATGGGTTCGAGTCACTTCTGGGGTGTGAGTTTTCATTCGCATATAGTCCTGGGGACCATTCAGGCTTGTTCGCATTTGTGTTCCTCACGTGTGCCCCAAAGAATGAGGTGATTTGGTGAAATGCTATGCCCAAGATTACCATCCGAGTTGCCGTCGGGGAAGTGGCTCAAATAGCCTCGGCTATCACTTCCTTTTGACGGCCGTGATGGTCAAGCGGATTAAGGCGCCCTGTAGTTACCAGTTGCGTTGCTTCTGGGAGTATGGGTTCGAGTCACTTCTGGGGTGTGAGTTTCATTCGCATATAGTCCTGGGGACCATTCAGGCTTGTTCGCATTTGTGTTCCTCACGTGTGCCCCAAAGAATGAGGTGATTTGGTGAAATGCTATGCCCAAGATTACCATCCGAGTTGCCGTCGGGGAAGTGGCTCAAATAGCCTCGGCTATCACTTCCTTTTGACGGCCGTGATGGTCAAGCGGATTAAGGCGCCCTGTAGTTACCAGTTGCGTTGCTTCTGGGAGTATGGGTTCGAGTCACTTCTGGGGTGTGAGTTTTCATTCGCATATAGTCCTGGGGACCATTCAGGCTTGTTCGCATATATATATATATATATATATATATATATATATATATATATATATATATATTCTTTTAATCAATTCAATTCTTTTAATCATGTCATGGCACAGTCGATTAAGGTACATCTGGGATCCACTCGAACGTAGGTTCAATATATATATATATATATATATATATATATATATATATATATATATATATATATATATATATATACATATATATATATATATATATATATGTCGTACCTAATAGCCAGAACGCACTTCTCAGCCAACTATGCATGGCCCAATTTGCCTAATAAGCCAAGTTTTCATGAATTAATGTTTTTTCGACTACCTAACCTACCTAACCTAACCTAACCGATAGAGATAGGTTAGGTTAGGTTAGGTAGGGTTGGTTAGGTTCGGTCATATATCTACATTAATTTTAACTCCAATAAAAAAAAAATGACCTCATACATAATGAAATGGGTAGCTTTATCATTTCATAAGAAAAAAATTAGAAAAAATATATTAATTCAGGAAAACTTGGCTTATTAGGCAAATCGGGCCTTGCATAGTAGGCTGAGAAGTGCGTTCTGGCTATTAGGTACGACATATATATATATATATATATATATATATATATATATATATATATATATATATATATATATATATATATATATATGTCGTACCTAGTAGCCAGAACTCACTTCTCAGCCTACTATTCAAGGCCCGATTTGCCTAATAAGCCAAGTTTTCCTGAATTAATATATTTACTATAATTTTTTCCTTATGAAATGATAAAGCAACCCTTTTCTCTATGTATGAGGTCAATTTTTTTTATTGGAGTTAAAATTAACGTAGATATATGACCGAACCTAACCAACCCTACCTAACCTAACCTAACCTATATTTATAGGTAAGGTTAGGTTAGGTAGCCAAAAAAAGCTAGGTTAGGTTAGGTAGGTTAGGTAGACGAAAAAACATTAATTCATGAAAACTTGGCTTATTAGGCAAATCGGGCCTTGAATAGTAGGCTGAGAAGTGCGTTCTGGCTACTAGGTACGACATTATATATATATATATATATATATATATATATATATATATATATATATATATATATATATATTAGGACAATATCCAATTCTGGCCCCAGACATCACTCGGTACCCCTACTTAAATCTCTGAATATGTTAGACATTAAGTCACTGCACATTCTCTCATGTGTATTATACATATATAAAACGCTAAACTATAATGCCAATCCTGATCTCAAAAGCTTCATAGAAGGTTGTATCAGAACCCATGAGCATCACACCAGAAATAAATACAGTTTTGATATTCCTAGAGTACGCCTTAATCAAACTAGAAATGCTCTACAAATCAAGGGGCCCAGAATGTGGAATGACCTTCCCAACCATGTTAAAGACTGTAATCTACCTTACCCTTCTATTGTCAACCAATGTCTGTTTTTTTCTTTAAAGAGCGCTGTTTGTCGACATAATTGTATTTGTGCTGCTTTTTCATCTATGTTTTCATTTCTTGTTTTCATTCTACTCATTATGCTCAATTAGTATTAAGCTTGTCATTTAAGTTTATCATGCCCGAAACGCTTTGCGTAATAGTGGCTTTAGGCATTGTATGTACTAGCTCTACCTATAAGTCAAACAATCCTTGTAAATATTTATTGTATGTATGTACCTTACCTAAATAAAATTGTATTGTATTGTATTGTTGTATATATATATACATATATAAATAAATGAGTAAATCCACAAGAGCCATGATGACGGTTTGAACCTACGTCCGAGAGGATCCCAGACGCACCTTAATCGACTGTGCCACGACATGGTTAAAAGAATTGTAACCAGGGTTTTACATACAGTATGCGTAAAACCTTGCTTTGTGTCTCAGTGAGACTGCAGGATCTGTGTGAGGGCAGTAGCACTCCCGGTTACAATTCTTTTAATCATGTCGTGGCACAGTCGATTAAGGTACATCTGGGATCCACTCGAACGTAGGTTCAAACCCTCATCACGGCCCTTGTGGATTTGTTTCTTTGATGCATCACGCTATTGTGATTTCTGTATATATATATATATATATATATATATATATATATATATATATATATATATATATATATATATATATATATATGTCGTACCTAGTAGCCAGAACGCACTTCTCAGCCTACTATGCGAGGCCCGATTTGCCTAATAAGCCAAGTTTTCCTGAATTAATATATTTTCTGTAATTTTTTTCTTATGAAATGATAAAGCTACCCATTTCATTATGTATGAGGTTAATTTTTTTTTATTGGAGTTAAAATTAACGTAGATATATGACCGAACCTAACCAACCCTACCTAACCTAACCTAACCTATCTCTATAGGTTAGGTTAGGTTAGGTAGCCGAAAAAGTTAGGTTAGATTAGGTTAGGTAGGTTAGGTAGTCGAAAAACAATTAATTCATGAAAACTTGGCTTATTAGGCAAATCGGGCCTTGCATAGTAGGCAGAGAAGTGCGTTCTGGCTACTAGGTACGACATATATATATATATATATATATATATATATATATATATATATATATATATATATATATATATATATGTCGTACCTAGTAG